AAAAACAAGTGGATCTTTGCTCAACAAATAACCTAAGAGATTATTAGAACAAGGAGGCTTTGATACCACTTGTTGGTCCCAGTTATACTGGATACAGTCTAGAGGGGGGTGAATAGACTGTATTGGTTTTTAGCTTTTTAAACTAAGTACCAGATTTACAGAATAACCTGTTCTGTTGAAGGAACAGACTGGCAGCGGATGGGGTTCTGGTAGGGAGTTCTGTTAGCCTCAGAGAAGCAAAGGCAGTAGGCCTTCTGTTAACTCGTAGAACAAGTTCTGCTGAACACAGATACCAAGTCCAATGAGTTAGACAGTTCTATCTAAGTGCAAGTATTTAAAGCAGTAAGTAAACGCCACCAGGGATTTTTATAGTGGTTCAAGGAACAACTCGTTCCTCTAATCCACTGTTCCACTAAGCTGTAAAAACTGCCGTTTACAAAGCCTTAGTCCTAGTACTTAAGAAGCACTCCACGTCTTCTTCAAGCCTAGATGTGTCCTGGGATGCACTGCATGGCTTCCTTTAACACTGGTCCTTTCACTGAGTTTCCTTGAAGTATCACCACTTCACTACTCCAGTTACTTGGATGTCCTTCTTGTAGCAAGAAGAGTTTCTGTTGAAACTGGGGTTCCTCCAACTAGCTTCGTTACAAAAGATTTGTATGTGATGAGCTTGAAGAGTTGAAGAACACTTGGAACTTTGCTTGGAGTTGGAAAAAGTATTTTTCCAACTTCTGCCTTCTCTTGTAGAAGATAATGAGTTTGAATCTCAAGGAGGCTTTTTGCTTTTCAGAGTTTGAATATCTTGTTTGTAGCAATGGTTAGCAAGAGTTGCAAAGTTTATCTTGGCAAAGTTATCCGGTTGTTCTTCGTAGTGTATCTTTTATACTGAGGTTATCTTCCCGTTGGAGGAGTAGGAGGACAACTGAATTTAATGCGCGATCAGTTGACTTGACTAGTAGAGCCCGGTAAAGTTGTCGGGTTACTATTTTGGGATAAAGTATTCCTGACATTGCGGCCAATCATCTGCAATTAGTCTACGTAGCATGGGGTGCATTAAATGAGCATTTAATGCATGCACTGTAGCTTTTCCGTTTCATACTCCTAGCCGTTGAAGGAATCTTTTAGTTGACTTCCCGGTTTAGTGAAATTCTTCTAAGTGTCAGACCTTCTGGTGTCTTTATCTGAGAGTAGAACATAGGAGGTCTGGAGCACTTCTGTTGGGAGAATATCCAACAGAGACCCAAAAGGGTTTCTGTCGGACTAAAGACTAACAGAGACCCTGAGGACTTCTATTCTGGAGCAGAGAACCAAAGGTCCTCTGTTTCAATGAAGCCTTACGAGGGTCTTCTGCTCTTGAAGTCCTTCTGCTCTTGAAGCCCTTCTGCTCTTGAAGGTCTTCTGTCAAGTCGATTACTCTAAGAACTTTACAAAGGAAAATTCTAATACATAATTTCTAAAGGGGTACTTTCAAATTCTAATTAACCTAGCATCATAAAAATCTAAATACAATTATTCCTTACACCACTCACCAAATATTCCACATTTATCCGGATGTGGCAAACCGACACCATGAATTTCTTCGGGTGCTCACAAAATCATAATTCAATCTCAATCAAAACGGATATGAAATCCAAACTCCACAAAATCATCCAAAATGTAAAATATTAACTCCAACAAACTACACTCGAATTTACCATACAATAAAATTTCACAAAAAGCCAAATACTTCATAAATATAATCCCAATAACAATTAATAAGATATCTCAAATGCTCAAAAATATCATCCAATATCCAATACTCAAATCTCAAATATACTTCTCAATAACAATCGATAAGAAATTCCAAATATTCAAATGTAAATACTAGAAATCTCATAAAGTACTCAAATAATTTCAAAAATGATTTACGAGGAAAAATATAATGTTGGTTGACGTGAAACTTACCTCAAATCGCGATAATTTCTAACCAAAGCTTCTATGTGGATCTTCTCCAAAAATCACCTTCTAAGAATATTAAAATTCTAAAATCAATATCTAAACAAATTCCTCTTTTTATGATTATATTATTTCAATAGTAATTAATCTTAATAATCATCCGTAATAAGTTTATGATTATAATTTAGTGATTCTTTTATTAAAGTCTGTCCAACATATCACTAACACATCCGACCCAATTGTTGTTATTAAAGTAGCAGCCCAAATATTATAAAAATACGGAGTATGCATATTACGTACAGTTACTGTAGTTGTCATCTTCGTCATATTCACGCAGTGTCGGCGAAGCAGGGTAAGAGGACGGCAACGCAGCTCCATCGTTATCTTCAGTCGTTCAGCAGTGTTTTCCCTTCTGGTGGCTGCTCCGGCGGATACACGGCGAAATGTTTCGGCGGCTTCTCCTTCAGGTGGTGACGGCGAGATGGCCAGCGGCTACGTAGAACGGCGCAGCTTTCCTTTCCCACTCCAGCGTGAAACCCGACCGACCTCCTCGCAGCAGTCAACAAAATAAAAACCAGTCCGGTGGCAAGGCTATCAGGCTAGTGTGCTCCAGTCAGTATGATTGCCCTCGTCGTTCTTCTCCTTCCGGCAACGCTGGGAAATCGGCTACGACTCTCTCCTCCAACGGTGGTGGCGGTGCATCAGGCGAGCGACGGCGGTGTTCCGCGGCGGCGATGCTTCTTCTTCCTCCTCTTTTGGCAACACCGGTAGACGATTCCTAGGCTTTGGCTTCGCAGAATCGCAGGGCTTCTACGTGCAAAATCCTCCCTCGACCACACTATTTATATGCATGCGCTGAAGATTCTAGACTTGCCGTTTCAAAACGTATTTTTTTTCATTAATTACTATCCTTATTTGGTTCAGCCGTTGCTTGGAATGAACATGTGCTAATGCTTACCTTAGGTTCAATAGTCAACCTTTAGTATTAATTTAGTAGGTACGTTGGTGTTTGCATTATTAGGAATTCATCTTTTTCAATTATTGCTATTCCTTTATTTCATTCCATTTTCTCATACTAAAATTTTTATTTTTATCGAAAACATTAAATCTGCTTTATTTTTAACTAGTAAGTTAGTTTCATTTATTATTATTATTATTTTTTTATTATTATTATTATTATTATTATTTTATTATTAAATTTTTGGAGTGTCACACTACCCGACCGGGTAAGGTTGGATACCTGACCGGGTATTGGGTTATGCTCAAAACGGGCAGTTTTGAGTAGGTTTACGTGGGCCGTTCAGGTGGGACCCGTCCACGTTGGGTACTAAAGATGTTTATATGACTATAGGGCTAGGTATTGTCCATAGTTAAGAGAATGAAAGTTTAGCCATATCCAGGTTAGGATTTGGTAGAGAATAGACTGGGGATTGAGTGCCCTTGGACGTTAAATGATCCAGAATACTCTAGGTGGGGTCGAGTACCCTTGGACTGTAAATGATCCTGAATACTCCAGGTGGGGTCGAGTACCCTTGGACGGTAAATGATCCAGAATACTCCAGGTGGGGTTGAGTGCCCTTGGACGGTAAATGATCCTAAATACTCCAGGTTGGGTTGAGTGCCTTGGACGGTAAATGATCCTAAAACACTTGGTAGTATGAATCAGAGGTAGACTATAACTTGTGAGTCAGGTATCCGGGAAAGGAGTGAGAAAAGTCAGGTAAGAACTTTATCTCTAAAAGACTCTTTAAATGAAATGACCTACGGGTTGAGTATTTTACAAATATATTTACAGTATGTATCATCGAGTGGATGAGTCACATATTTATATATGTATCATCCTATTTTTGGGTCTCGTGTCTGAAACATTAGTTATTCTTCATATAGCCTGCTCGTCAATAGTACTTCTATGGAGTACTGACCCCTCCGGGGGCTCTAACTGTAACACCCCGACCCCACCGGACCCGAGGTACTACTGCGGACCAATAGTACTGTCCCCACAAACCACCACGAGCCTTTACCGCACACTTTGTCCTCACTCATGCGCGCCCTGAGAAACTTCCCAGGGGGTCACCCATCCCAAGACTACTCCCGTGCAAGCACGCTTAACTTTGGAGTTCTTGGGTGATGAGCTCCCTTAAAAGGAGATGCACCTCTGTTGGTATGAGTAGTACTATTAATCCATTTATTTTAAATCTCAAGTGTTACAATCACCCCCACTTAGGATCGCAACGTCCTCGTTGCGTCCTTGAACCAATCTCAAATCTCAATCAAATCATATCCCAGAATCTTCCCCCGCTAGGTGCCCGCCCGATATCCAACGGGTCATCACACTGTCGTGGGGTTGCTCTGATACCACCTGTAACACCCCGACCCCACCGGACCCGAGGTAGTTACTCCGGACCAATAGTACTGTCCCCACAAACCACCACGAGCCTTTACCGCACACTTTGTCCTCACTCATGCGCGCCCTGAGAAACTTCCCAGGGGGTCACCCATCCCAAGACTACTCCCGTGCAAGCACGCTTAACTTTGGAGTTCTTGGGTGATGAGCTCCCTTAAAAGGAGATGCACCTCTGTTGGTATGAGTAGTACTATTAATCCGTTTATTTTAAATCTCAAGTGTTACACTAACATTTTTCAGGTTAAGGCTAGAGTCCTACTACCTGCACCTTTGCCTAGGGTGACTCATCAAGAAGGAAGACATGGTTTGTGCTTCCATTCGTATTTAAAATTTATAAAATGCTCATGGATATTTGAACAATGTTTTCCTTTAAACAGTTAGGGGCCTGCGTGCTCATGTTTAGCACGTGTGGCTAAATATCAAACATATTATTTCCGCATTCGTTTGATTATGATATTGATGTTGATTGTATGAGTTTACTAATCGGTTTGGCAATAGAATCTACCGGACGCCTTGTATGATTCAATAAGGATGAACTAATGTTTTTCTTATTGGGTTGTACGGTGATTGTCTACGTGGCTCAGATGCGGTCCGGGGCGTGACAAATGTAGTAATAGATTAAAACAACAATTAATACAAAGATAAATGAAAAAGTATACATGACCATTCAAATATGAGAAAAGTGTCGGATGATTACATGATATTGTACATAGTGGGAAAATCATTGTTAATTTAGTACAAACGTGTATTAGCCCGTTAAAAACGTTGACTTTGCAAACGGATTACTGTTACGGCAAAATAAAAGCCACCTCATCAACTTCCTTGACGTGATACAAAGCAAGAAGGAATTAAAAAATTGTTGGCTGCGGGATAATTTTAGAATCAAAGCATGAGAGAAAGGGCAAAATCTATGGAGATTAGTGCTGCCTCTTCCGACCGCAATAACTTCTCAGAATTCGACTTCTATGTTTCTCCCAAAATTGTCTGCAAGAAACACCCTTCAGCTTCGTTTATTGTAATCTCCCCTTACCACCTGAAAGACGGGGTTTTGAAGCTCATCTGCGTGGAGAACATCGACTCTCTTCTTGTTCTGGCTCTGACTAATACTATCGCTTCATGGATCTCACTCCTGATGGAGAATGAGATTGGTTCGAGTCAGTCGACGGGGAAGAGAGGTAAAACAGAGGACATGGCAGTTCTTCACGGGAGCAACAATAACTGCGTTGAGACCAAGAAATGCAGCAATGGGTTCTAAAAGATCAAGAGGCTATTCGGAAATATGAAGAGAAGGGAAAAGCGTCATCTCAAACAACGATCGCCAAACGTTCGACGAAATGCGTATGTCAAGGTCGAGGTCTTTGTAGCTTAACAGACGATGGGTGGTCGGATCAGTATAAATTCTCCAGTGCAAAGATTTCAGATGTCACAAGTAGGTTTTGGTTTGATTCCGACAAGTCAAGGAAGAGCTGGTTCAAAGGTGATCTCCCCGAGAACAAGGAAATCTTCCTATATCCACGAAGTATCTCCCATGCAAAAGAGAGTGATTCTTTCACCAGTGCCATGTATGATGAATCAAGAGCACCCTTCATTGACATAACGCACGATCTTTCTTCATTACCAAGTCAGCGTTTTTATTTTGCCAAAAGTAATCCATTTACCAAGTGAGCATTTTTAATGGGTTAATACACATCCCTACTGAATTTTATGTACCTTTGAATATCGAAAGGGGCGCCTTAACACTACAACCGCTAGGCCATCTTTGATTTTTTTGTTTTCAGCCATCCTTGTCACCCGAAAGTCCACCGCAAAATTGATATTAACGAATTCATTTTTTAAAATAATCCAAATAGATCCAAAAATCTAAAGACGGAGGTGGTTTGGAGGTCATCTTGACGAGGCGCACCTTTCGTCATTTTTCTTTTAATTTTACGGGGACTTTTGAAAATCAGATTAATGTTCATCGTATTCCTTAAGCGTTTTTAACGACGTGACCCTCGTGTGATAACATAATTCAAACATATGAGCCACTTTGATAAAAATGAAACACATGGCCTTATGTGAAAATGGACCTTACCACAAGTACTTTTTCCAAACTTTTCCGTAATAGTAGTAGTAGTACTACTACTAATACTAATAATACTCTCTCCGACCCGAATTGAATTGCAAAAGTTGATCGGCACGCGGATTAAGAAAGTGGGAAGGTTGTCATTTTCTTTTACCGTTATGCCCCTTTATCAAAACAAATAAACATATGCAAAAATAAAAGGGAAAATGTGCAAATAAACCCTTGAACCAACCGAAAAAGTGCAAATCACCCCTTTTATAGGAGACTCTGTTCGGCCGTCGCCATTTGGGGCGGTTACCGGTGTAATTTTTTGATGAATATTTTTTAGCATCTTGTTCATTAATTCTAGTTTACCCATATCAAATTTCAGCTAAAAATTCAACCGGGAAGACAGTCAAATGATTTTCTGAAATATATTGCGTTGTTTAACTGCACAGTTATCTTCAAACATTTATTTGACTGTCTTCCCAATTGCATTTGTAGCTGAAATTTGATATGAGTAAACTAGATTTAATGAATAAGACGCTCAAAAAAAGTTATCAAAAAATTCCAACGGGAACCGCCCCAAATGGCGACGGCCGGATAGAGCCTCTTATAAAAGGGATAATTTGCAATTTTTCGATTAGTTCGAGAGCTTATTTGACCCTTTTCCCAAAATAAAATATGTAACACGTACATTATCTGCCGGACAATACAGTCACCACCTATTCCTTTTTCCTTCTTTTATCAACCATTTGTTGTGATGGAGTATATGACCCAGGAACCCTCGGCCCACAGACTCCTACTACTCCAATCAAGGCCCAACAGGCCCAGAAGGCCCAACAGGCCCAAATCACAGCGCCCAGAGTACCAAGCCGCCCGCAATACGCACCAGGGATGCCTTCGCCCCCCTGGCCGAAGGCTCTAACTCTCACAGGAGGGCCAGGACAGCAAAACAAAGTTACTGGGAAAAACGGCGAAAATCAGTAGCCCTCGGCACCCGGAGCCCTCGGCACCAAGAGGGTCCCCTGTGCTCAGAACCCTCGGCCAGTCCTCTACATCCGAGGGCGCCTCTTCTGACACGATATCCTCTCCACATGCGTACAGATCACCGTACCCTGTACAACGTCCCATCCAACAGCCGCATTAAATGCGGCCACATGCGTTTGCCAACACCAACCAGTTGAGATGACCCCTCGGCCAATGAACGTTTGACACGTGTCCCTGTCCGGCATTTATTGCTACTATAAATAGCACCCCATCTCCCCATTTGTAACCACGCTGAAAACGCTCCACACTTTACAATATACTTTCTCTCTCTATACTTACTTGCTCTGACTTCTCTCTTATTATTCCCCGTAATAACCCCTCGGATAAGCTACCCCCCGGGTACACTATCCACCATTTGGTGCTCTCGTTGAGAGCTCGAACAATCAAGTAAGAAACCCTCCCCCTCGACCAAACACAAAAACACCCATCCAAGATGGTGAGAACAACTCGTGTCAACTCCAAGAATGTAGAGGACAGGAACCTGGCCCTCGGCGAGGTCGACGTCCCCGAAACCTCCAACAGGTCTCCCGGGGGCGGCGGCATCACCGGGATGGACCAGACGGCTGTCGACCTACACCAGCAGATTCAGCAAAATGCCCCCGATGCCCGCCTCGGCATCGAGGCCAAGAAAAAGGACCGGAGCGAAAATCAAATTAGCCCCCCAGTCATCACCATCGACGTTCAATCGGCGCTCTCCGCCTTCATCCAGACGCTCACTCAGAACCCGGGTGCCTTCGGCACCTTGGTTCCCCACCAGCCTCAGGTTGGGGAGAATATTCTGCCTCCCCCTCATCCACGGCCCCTCGGTAACCCGGTCCTCCGGATGGGGAACTCCGAGGGGGTCGTGGCCAGAGATACGGCCTCCCAGGAGGTCCAGTCCCGGGACCGCCACGACGTGAACAAGGAGCACCCCCGGACCTCCGCCCTCGAGAGGCTCGGAGGGGCGCAAGACCGCCGAGGGGTCCAAGACCGCCTCGGGGAGAGGGCATTCCAGAGACCTCAGGAAAGTGGCGGGTCCGTCTCCAGGGCCAATGAAAGACGTCCCCCTCAGGACAAAGGCAAGGCACCTCTCCATGACGACGACGCACGCCATCAAATCAATCAAGCCCACTCGGCCCGAGTCCATTCGCAGGGGGCGGAGGCCCTCCAGAAGGACCCCCGAGACGAAATCATTGCGGCCCTCCAGCGCCGGCTTGACGAGATGGAGGCCACCAAGGCCCACGCCACCACTTCTGCCCCTCATGCGGACTTCAAGTATGAGGCGATGATGGCCAAAATGGAAGAAATGCAGAAGAAGATAGCCGAGGGCTCCGGGGAACCCACCATACAGCTCCGGACCCGGACGCCATTTACCCTAAGGGTATTGGCTGCCCGGATCCCGGAAAAATACCGAGGGCAGCTCATCAAGCCCTATGACGGAAAGACTGACCCCCAGGAGCACTACAGCAGGTATTAAAACAGCATGATGATGGTGGGGGCATCAGATGAATATTTGTGTCGCTGGTTCCTCTCCACCCTAGAGGGGCCAGCTTACGAATGGTTCAACCGATTGCCCGAGGGCTGTATTGACTCATGGCAAGAACTCGCCCAGCGATTCTTGACGCAATTTGCGGGGAGGCGCCGCACAAGAAAACACTTCTCCCACTTGCTAACAGTGAGGCAGAGGAAGGAGGAGACCCTTCGGGACTTCCTGGAGCGCTGGAGGACGGAGGCTGATAAAGTTGATGGCGCTGACGACGGGACACTCCTGGCCCTCCTACAAACAGTACTCCGCCCCGGGAACTTCTCAAGGAGTCTCATCATCGAACCCCCCCGCGATTATATAAGGGCCCTACAGCGGGGGGACCGGTACGCTAAGGCCGAGGAGGTGGAGAAATGCCACCATGTCCCAGATCAGCAACGCCCTCGGCCAGAAGACAAAGGTAACCGGGGGCCGGGGGCTCCCCGCAATCATCCCAGGGATCCTGCCCCCTCCGGTGATCGCCCCCGGCACGGCCAAGCCAAGCCCGAGGGAGGTTTCAAGGGGAACCCGAGGGCTTGGGCACAGCCTGTCCTCCTGGAGCACTCTCGGACACCACTGACGCACCCCGTCAGCGTCATCCTGGATTTTGCTGAGGAGAGGGGCCTCGTGGAGCGAGATTCATGCGCGCCCTCGGAAGTATTTGCCATCAACCCAAACTACCCCTACTGTCGTTTCCACCGACACCAGGGGCACAGGACCGATGATTGTCATCAGCTGAAGACGGCCATCGAGAAATTGATACAAGCGGGCAATCTGTCCCAATTTGTCCAGGGCCCTCAGCAACAGGCCCCCCTCATCAGGGGCCACCCCGAGGGCAAACTGCGAGAGGGAATGCATGAGTCAACCCCAACACCATCCCCCTCGGCAAGAAGAGGGAGATTGGAAATCTGGAGGAAGAAGAGGAGGAGTACCCCCGGTACCAAGAAAAGGAACGCCACATCCTCATGATACCGGGGGGAAATACCGGGGGTGACTCCACAAGTCAACGAAAGAAGTGGGCTCAATCACTTTACGTGGGGGAAGTCACTCATATGCCCCCAGTAAAGCGGTTGAGGGAGGAACCCATTATCTTCACCAACGCTGACCTCCCCCCAGTATCCTCCCCCCACAGGGATGCCTTTGTCATCCGCACAGAGATCAACGACACCATTATTCACAGAACTTACATTGACACGGGCAGCTCCGTCAATGTAATGTACCTCAGCACCTTCAGAGAGCTGCATCTGGAGAGGGGGGGCCTTCAGCCCATCAAGACCCCTCTTGCCGGCTTCACCGGCGACACCATTGATTCCGAGGGGGTCATAACCCTCCCGGTGATCTTCGGCGACGGCCTCCATAGAGCCAAGCTCGAAGTGGAATTCGTCGTCGTCAACATCGATTGCGCCCACAACATCATCCTTGGCCAGCCAGCCCTCGAGGACCTCGAAGCCGACATCTCCATGAGGCACCTCTGCCTCAAGTTCCCAGCCGAGGGGGGGATCGGTTACTCGAGGGGGAACCAAAAGCTTGCCCGCGCTTGCTACCTTCAAGTCACGAAGAAAGTTAGCAAGACGGAGTTCCGCGTTGACACCATCACCGGAACTGTGGAAGCGGAAGATAGAAGGCCGAGGGCTGAGCCAACCGAGGAGGTTGAAGACTTCGCGCTCGATCCGGCCAAGTCGGAGAGAGTCGTGAAGATTGGAGCCAAGCTCCCCGAAGACTTGAAGACCGGCATCATCAGCGCCCTCCGCGCCTACTCCATTGTTTTTGCATGGGGGCCGGAGGACATGCCGGGGATCAGCCGAAGGGTCATCACCCACCGCCTCTCGGTGGACCCCTCGGCCAAACCAGTACAACAGCGGAGGAGACCCCTCTCGGCCGAGAGAAGAGAATTCGTGAGGAAGGAGGTCTCCATGCTCCTTTCTATCAAACACATCAAGGAGGTCAAGTACCCCTCATGGCTGGCAAACGTAGTCTTCGCACAAAACCGCCCTCATCCCGCATGTGCGTGGACTACACGGATCTCAACAAGGCATGTCCCATGGACCCCTTTCCTCTACCCAATATTGATCAACTGGTGGATGAAACCGCGGGGTGTGAAATCATGTCATTCCTCGACGCATTCCGCGGGTATCATCAAATATACATGCATGAGGAGGACGATGAAAAAACAGCCTTCATGACTCCCGAGGGCATCTTCTGCTACCTTGTCATGGCCTTCGGCCTGAAGAACTCAGGCGCCACCTACACTCGGATGGTGGCTAGGGTATTTCAGGCCGTCCTGGGGCGCACCATGGAGGCATATGTTGACGATATGATCGTCAAAAGCAAACAGTCAACAAGCCATGCTGACGACCTGAGGGAGATCTTCGCCATCATGCAGAAGTTTAGCCTTCGG